AAAAGTAACCATGAATCAGGCCCTCTGCAGGTTGGTGACACTTTGTAGCTTAGTCTGTTTGTGGGACCCCTGACAGAGGACCAGGATTTATCCCTGGTGCATTAGCTGGATTTCTGAAGCCCATTTCATATGGTAGATGCCTTGTTCAACCTTTGTGCTGGAGGGAGAGCAGAAAGGGGTTTGGTCCTGCCTCAACTGAACATGCCAGGCTTTGTTGAATCCCATAGGAGACTTACCCTTTCTAAGAAGTGGGTAGGGGTGGGTTCGGGTGATGTAGGTGGGTAGGTGGAAGGGCAGAGGGAAAGGGACCTGTAGCTGGCATATAAAATGAATATAAAAATAACTTTGCACTCCCACCAGCAATGGAAGAGTGTTCCCCTTATTTCACATCCTTTCCTGCATAAGCTGTCATCAGTGTTTTTGATCTTAGCCATTCTGATCCATAGATCAGAAGATATCAGAGTCATTTTGATTTGCATTTTCTTGATGGCTAAGGACATTGAGCAATTCCTTAAATGTCTTTTGGCCATTTGAGTTTCTTCTGGGATAATTCTTGTTTAGATATGTACCCCATTTTTTAAATTCCATTATTTGGTGTTTTGGTATCTAGTTTCTTAGTCCTTTGTATATTCTGGAGATAAGCCATCTGTCAGATGTAGGGTTGATAAAGATTTTTTCCCACTCTTTAGGCTGACATTTTTTTAACTTAGTAGCCTTTATTACTTTTTTTTAGAAAAGAGCTTGCTTTACATGTCAATCCCAGCTCCCTCTTCCTCCCCTCCTCCCGCACCCCCCCACCATCCCACAGCCTTCCATACTAGCTCCACTCCCTTCCACATAGTGGATATCCAGAGTCTGTCATTTTGTTCAGAACAGGGTCCAGGCCCTCCCCCAGGAGTCCAGTCTAAGAGAGCATCCCTCTTTGTGTTATGGACACACAAAGTCCATTTGTATGTCAGGGATAAATATTGATCTACTGCCCAGGGCCCTATAGGTAGCCCAGGCCTCTTCACTGACTCTCACATTTAGGGGGTCTGGATCAGTCCCATGCTGGCCTCCCAGCTGTCGGTCTGGGGTCCAACAGCTCCCTCTTGTTCAGGTCAGCTGTTTCTGCTGGTTTCGCTGGCTTATTCTTTACCCATTTGCTCATCACCCCTCTCTGTCACTTGGTTCCAGCGGTTCAGTTCAGTATTTAGCTGTGGGTGCTTGCCAGTTGTAGTGGCTGCCATTTTTCCTACTGTCCATATTCTATGCCTTCAGAAGCTTCTCTGTTTCTGTATTGATTGTTGCTTTCAGAGTCTGTGCTACTGGTATTAGTATTAGGAAGCAGTCTCCTGTGCCAATGCATTCAAGGCTACTTCCCACTTTCTCTTCTATCAGGTTCAAAGTAACTGAATTTATGTTGGTGCTAGAGAAATTCTCAGGAATCCAGAAATATCACTCCAGCTAAGATTCCTAGCAATAGTGGAGAGGGTTAGGGTCTCAACAAGCATTCCCCTTTCAACAGATTAGTGACTAGCCTAATTGTTATCATAGAACCTACATCTAGTAAGTAAATGATGAAAGCAGATGCAGTGACCCACAGCCAAGCACTGGGCTGAGCTCCTGGAGTTCAGGTAAAGAAAGGGAGGAAGGATCATTTGAACAAGGGGGGTCAGGGTGATGGGAAAACCACAGAGACAGCTGATCCCAGCTAATGGGAGCTCATGGATTATGGACTGATAGCTGGGGAACTTGCATGGAACGGAACTACACCCCCTGAATCTGGGTTAATGTTATATGACTTGATTGGGGGGGGGCAGCTGGGAGCAGCACCAGGACCTATTCCAGGTGCATGAACTGCCTTTTTGGAGCCCATTCCCTATGGTAGAATACCTTGTTCAGCCTTGATACAGGGGGAGGGGTTTGGTACTGTCTCAACTTGGTATGCCAGACTATGTTGACTCCTCAAGAAAGGTCTTGCCCCTCTAAGGAGTTTATAAGTGGGGGGAAAGGGGGCAAGGGGATGCCCCACCTCGTGAAAAGGGGAGGGAGGGGAAGGGGAACTTGTGTTGGCATGTAAAATAAAAAACAACTTTTAAAAATAAAAATAGATAAATGAAAGAAACAAAGAGAGAAAGTAACCTTTGACATATGAAAGCTTAAAAATTTAAGTATAAATAAAACCTTTTCAGAGAACAAGCTAAAATTGCTGTATTTCATTATAAAATACTAATAAAACATACTGCATATAACTAATAGCAAAATCAACATAACATTTCATTGACAAGGCTTAATAATTAAAACATTAAATACATTTAAAATCAATGACATTATTCTACACAAGAAATGCGTTCACTTAGTAATTTTGAAAAATAAAAGAAATTCAATGAAATTTTAAATTAGGCTTTGGTGACGAACTAAATACACTATTCAACTTTCAGGGTCAATGCACCTCTTTCTGTAGAAACAGGATTGGAGTTTACTTGGTCTTTCCTCTTTCATAAAGTCAAAAATGACAAGAGTTGGGCTTTTGGTTTTTGGTTTCTTTCATACATGATAATAATTAAAGCTTATAAACATCAAATTTTTTCTCTCTCTCTCTCTCACACACACATACACATATCTTATTATATACCTAATCTTATTAATGAAAAATTTGAAAATATTAAAATCTAAGTAAAACCTGAGTTTCATTTTCAGCTCTGTAATTAAAGAAATGTGCTGGGCTTGTGGGGGGAGGCACCTGTCTGTAATCCCAGCTCTTGGGAGGCAGAGGCAGAATTCTAGGCCAGCCTCATCTACAGCTAGAGTTCCAGGACAGCCAAAGCTGTTACACAGAGAAACTGTCTCAAAAAACAAAGAAAAAATGGAGTATGTTTGTCAGGATATATCTCTACTCAGTTTCACACCTCAAATTCAAATCTCAGATTAAAAAGTCAATCAACATACAATAATGTACAAGTCATTGACTAAATAATAGTGACAATATGACAAACTAACAAGGTATACCACTTTCAGAATAAGAAGTATCTTTATATAAGTTTTATTTCTTTTTTTGTTGTTTGTTTTGTTTTTTCCAGACAAGGTTTCTCTGTGTAGCACTAGCTGTCCTGGCACTCGTTCTGTAGACCATGCTGTCCTTGAACTCACAGACATTTGCCTGCCTCTGTCTCTCGAGTGCTGGGATTAAAATTGTGCAACACCACCACCTGGCAAGTTTTAGTTCTTTTAATCATCTTGAAATCTATCTCTGCTTAATGTCAATAAATGAAAGTCATTCTTAGTTTTGAACATGAAATAAATATAAACGTAAGAATGCTATGTAGACCCTGAAATAAGCACAATTTTAAGCCCTAATCTCTTTGAAAGATGGTAAAGATAAAGTATGTTAAAAAATAAGCAATCAAAAGCAATTATCAGTTGCTTACTTTTCATTTTAATTCAACAAAAATATCAAATATCAGCATGAAGGTCCAAACTATTATTTCAAGAATTTTCAGTTTCTTCTTAATAGGTTTGCTTAACAGTCTCAGCACATTTCTATTGATAAGAGAATTTCTTGAAAGTTAGTAGCCCAATGTATATATTCACTGTTATAAATCGAAATGGTGATTTTCAAGTATTTATATTTCATGTGAAGTTTTTATCTGATCAATTATTATTTGCATTAAGCTATACCCTAAAACACATATGGCATTCACACAAGTAAGTATGCCATGGTTATTATATTTTAAATACTATTATCTTCCTAGTACCTTAAAGACAAGCATTAGCGTGTATACACAATGCCAAGAAAAGTTGAAATTGAACAAACTAAGGAACATGTTGTGACAACACACAATAAGCTTACTCCAATGGAAGGCAGACTATTTAAGCTGGCACGGATAATTAAGTTACTTAAAATCTGCCAGGTAAACAGGTTTCTGAATTCACAAAAGTCCACAGGAAAAGAGAGAAGAGAACTCAGTTTACTTAAGTCATAATATAGATTACATGCTTAATGAGAAACTAAAAGAATTTGTCCTTAAATTTATTCCAAAAGAATCAATTTTTAAAAGTTTTCAATCACATGGCTGTTGGGGGGGGCAGAAGGGTTGCATATTGAGACATGGTATCTACATCTTAGTTACTTAAAACCATACTTTCAAACCAAATGTATTACGTACAACCTTTAATTTTTAATCCAGGTGGGAAAATAAATGCCACATAAGCTACATGATCTTCTATTCTCTATAGACAGGCAAGCTTCTACATCAAAGACTCTTTCTCCTGAAGCAACATGCAATTTAATAACTTTCTCAAAATATTGTTCAATGACTGTCACAGCCAGTCATTTGGAATTAGCAGGTGAAATGGCAATCCATTTATCATCACATCACCCTTCTCAGTCCTTGACCCAGTTTAAGAAAACCTCAAAAAGGCCGGGCGGTGGTGGCGCATGCCTTTAATCCCAGCACTCGGGAGGCAGAGGCAGTAGGATGTCTCTGAGTTCAAGGCTGGGCTGGACCGATAGCCTCCAAAACAATACAGAGAAACCCTGCCTCGAAAAACCAAAAAAAAAAAAAAAAAAGAAAGAAAGAAAGAAAGAAAGAAAGAAAGAAAGAAAGAAAGAAAGAAAGAAAGAAAACCTCAAAAAGAGGAAATTGTTATATGCATTAAGAGTGTCTGGGAAAGGTTTCAAAGGGATGTTGGGTGGATCCTGAAGGATTGATTATACTTGGATAGATCAAGTAAACAGAAAAGAGGGAACAGGCATGTAAGTTCAAAGGCTTAACGTACTATAACGTGCATTTTCTTGGACCGGCTAGGGTCCCGCTGCCCTTGTCTGTCCCAAAGAAGCACACAGATGCTATATTAATTATGAAGCTGTAGGCTGTGACTGTGGTTTATTATTGGCTAGCTCTGTCTTAAATATTAACTGGTTTCTATAAATCCATGTATTTCCACATTGTCTTATCTTACCAGGGAATTCTGGACCTGCAACTCCTTTGCCTACATGGTGACTGTTAAGAGTCTCTGCAGAGAAGAGTGATTTCCTGTTTGTCCCTGCTTATACTCTGATTCTGCCCAGCTATTTTTTTTCCTGCCTGTGTGTATAGACCTCCAGACCTCAATGGTTACCTAGTGGCCCAGCTTCATCATTTCCTGGGATCACATGACAACTCCTCTCTGACTACACTTCCCAGAATGCGCCTTGCCCTACCATCACCCAGCCTGGCCAATCAGTATTTTATTCATCAACCAATACGACAAATATATATATACACAGAAGAACATTCCCCATCAGCATGACAAGAGGTGCAGTATGGAAAGTGATCTGCCCAGAGAGGATACATTAAAGGTAATATAAACTCGACACTTTAATTCAAAATAATTTCATTATGTATGCTTCCAGGATCATGGTTTATGATTCTATGTATTGTCAATTGTGGAAAAAAAAAGCTTAGAAACCTTGTAGAAGTTAAAAGCTATTTTTCTTAACCAGTAAGTATATCCTGGTGTGGGACTGCAAGCACAAGGCTATCCTAAATGAACAAAGGTGCCATATGGGCTAGAAGTGATCTTGCGAACAATAAATGCTCATTGCAGAGAAATTCAAATCACATCTGGTTCTAATTAGGAATAAAATAAAAGGCACCTGAATATTACCAGATAGTGATAATAGCTTCAGTATGTTATACCTTTTCAAGACATTTTTATACCACACATAAATACAATTATTTCCTTACAAATGAGATCGTCAGACAATTATGCAGTTTAAACATGTTGCTACTTTATTATATACTGTAAACAGTTTAACTATCAAAAATATATCTACATATAACATTTTAAATGTTTCTATGCTATTCTTTCCATAGGTTTATAATATGATAGTTTATTTCTTATTATTGGACATTTTAGGTGATCCAAATTTTTATTAAAAATAAAATTTATTTTTAAAAGATGATCATAACTTTCACAAATAATTTACAAATTTTATGTAATTTTAACTTACTTTGAGGATCAGGTATAACTTGCTGTTCCCCATTTAAGCGGACTGGTGAACTTCAAAAGAGACTAGAACTGAAACACTACTCCTGCTTAGAATTCAACAGTCTTGCTCATGTCAAATTAATTTCCATTCTTTACATGTGTCCCTGTGTACAGTATGAATATATGCATGCATGTGTGTTCACATGTGTTTGCACACACATGTGTGTGGATGCATGAGCATGTGTACATGAAGGCCTGAGAGTGATGCTTGTCTTTCTTAACTGCTCTCTGCCTTCTTTAGTGAGCCAACTCACTCACATGGCTAGTCTGCCTCACCAAGCTGCCTGGAGGATTTCATTTCCATCCTCATAGTGCTGGTGACAGCCATGACCACCTGGAAGGTGGGGATCCAAGCTCCAGTCCTCAAGCTGATATAGCCAGCAAGCACTTTATCCATGAAGCCGTTTCCTGGGCCCTAATTGTGGGGTTTTGTTTTGTTCTAAGTCTTTTTACTCCATGATTTTAGTAATACTACTTGTATAAGTGAACTGATTCTTAGAGATTCAGCTTCAGAGGAAACAGAATGTATTTGTCAAGCAATAGTTAATTGAAAATTTTAAAGATCGATTATAAAAATATAGTTAATTTCATTTATAGATGAGATAAACAAAGTTTAGAGAAATGGAACAGGTCAACAATATATATTTCAGAGAGAAAAAGGAAGACTTGAATTCAGGTTGCCTCAATTGTAATGAAGGTAAACTTTATTAATGTCAATCTTGAAAAACATTAATGCCAATAAAAATTTTCAGTATTCTTCTGCTCCGTTATTGGCACTAAGAAGGAGAAGACTTCAAACAGATATGGTTTAAGTAAAAAGGACAACCCTCATTAATAATCTTGCATGTTGCATGTGCTGAATCTGGTCATTTAAAATTTATATCTCTGCCAATATTTATGAGAGAAAAATCACAAATGACCACTAACATTTCTATAAAGAAATAGTACAGTGCACACAAAATGTCTGCAGAAATGAAAGTGAATGTCATTTTACACATAATAATGAAGAAATGATGGTTCTGCAACATGGAAAGGTTCAAGGACTCAGTTCTCTCACATACTGCTGCTAGAGCAAAAGTAACATTCTCTAGAAGGTAATAGGAAAATACAACAAAATTATTTTATTTAAATTTAAAATTTATTTATTTATATTGATCAGAAAACATTTCTACTCATATTTTTCATATTTTTAAAAACTTCTCAACAATCCTTAGAACCTTGGCCTGACAAAGTTCTACGTCTATAAGTTTAGTACAATGATATAGTCGTAAGATATTAATAACCTTATGCTTTCAAAAGGAAAACAACAGGAATGTCCAGTGCTGGGCAGTAAAATACTAATATCAATAAGACAGAGACATACATAACCACTAAAATGATGATGTAATTGTGTCTTTCCACAAAACTTTTCTTGTGGCATATTAATTTTTTATTTCCAAACAATAGAATATCTACATTTGTAAACAGCTGTATTCATTCATGTGTACAATAGGGCTCATCTGTGTTATATAAAAAGATACAAACTAAAATTCAAACACTATGACTGCCCTCTATATTCATTCTAATTGTTTCTTTTCATTTTGTGTAAAATGTTTGCAATGAAAATGTATTACTTCTGATTCAAATTAAAATATTTTACAAAAATCCTCATAGCATCTTATGGAATAAGACACTACCTTTATTACTTGAACAATAAATCTGAAGCTTAAAATAGCAGAGTTTGCTCTATTTGATCCAAAGCAAGAACTCCATTTGTAAAAGAAATGCAGTGTGGTGTATCAACTAAAATGAGGCTGAGTTTATACTGAACCCACATTTTTCCTGTTCTCCATGTCACTGCTAAACTTTCTCATAAATTATTTATGTGCATGCCTATTACCTTTAGTATTTAAAGGCCCTATTCACATTTCTACTCAGTTTTACAGAATCTACACTGTCCAGTACAATTGTAATTTTCCTAAATTTGCTATGTGATTATACAGGCACAGATGTATTACATTCGTTAGAGGATAGGGAATATAATGCAGCCATGGCCACAATATACGAGACTGGAAGAAAGAATAGAATATTCCAGTTTGCCTGCCATTTGTATCAGATTTGGTTTCTACCACTTTATAGAAAAATCCCTCCAACAATGGCCTCCTTAATCCATGCCATCACACTTGAAGATAGTGTCACTACCTTCCTTGTAACCTTCTGTAATTGGTTACATTTTTTCTGGTATTACACAATGGACACCTTTTGAAAGTACTTCATTTTCCTCCCAAACATTTACTCATCAATATAGGTACCCAAAACAGTCTTCTCTTTCCCAGTCCATCAAAAATATATCATATTTACTGTCTATGAACCAAATAAATTCCTACTTCTGCTACATCCAAAATAATTTCTTGCATCTCTAAACTTGCATTCCCCTTTTGACATTTAATGGTTATATACCATCACCCTCTTCCTATGGTTTTCCTTACTACAGGAAGAGGGGAACCCAATGCTTTGAGATAGAATCCAGAGAGACAGTTGTCTTGCCCACCAGTAAAGTTACGTGACTCCTGTATATCACACACTTAACACTACAAGACCCAGACCCCATAGACACTTTTGAAATGACAGGATATCTAGTGTGTCTATCCCAAGATTAACTTAATTGTTCTTATGGAAAACTCCCCACAGTCTAACACTTGAAAGTCACAATCTTAAGTGGCTTCTACATGTTTATTATTCAATTTACTTATTTAGGCAAGCTTTCTGTTTTATAACCATATGAATATATTTATTATTTTAACTACAGGCAAGTTATTAATTTTACAAATTGATGGAATATATTGTGTGTGATGTTTCCATACATGCACATTATATCATGTACTCACTCATACTAAACATTCAATAAGCACAGATCCTTATAATGGCAATGTTAACAAAATTTTAACACTCTATACATTAAAAATAAAAATCTTAGAACTTGAGATATTAAGATTAACTCAATAAATTATATTCATGTATCACTAATATTATTATCCACCATTCACTGAATCAGAATGGAAAGATCATTAGAAGAAACTTCCTCTCTTAGTTAAGGAAAAAGAATGGTAAGACTGGTGAGTTGAATCATTTATCTTTGGTAGGCCAAATGCAGTGAATTCTTTCATAAAATCTTTTCACTAAATTTTTTTTAGCTATATATAGAAGGTTATGGCAAACACAGTCACATGATCTTCAGGTATGATTTATAGACAACCATATTCACTAAACAACAACTCTTAAGAGTATTAAAATGTTTTGTTGCAGAAGAAAAAATAATTTTTCTTCAACTTTCATAGACTCTTATTGCAAATGGGTCCTAATAGAAAGATAGATTTAAAAAGAAAAATATAAGTTTCTTAGCATGTGTATTTTATATACATAGAGGATATATCAAAGAGCTAACTTTAAACTCCTGCTTACATAATGTTTTCTAAAAAGCACGGTGAAGTTTTAAGGAAATGGCAGAGTGACAGATGAGAGTTCTCATACTCTAACTTCTAATGCACTACTTTTCAAAAGACCCATCATCAAATCTAGAATTAAAAGTGTATATAATATGCTCACCAGTAACACATAACAGCTCTGATGGGGGATATCCTTCTGTATGTTGTGAATATGTTTCTCTTATAGTTTGATGAATAAAGCTGTTTTAGCCAACGGACAGGTAGGATGCAGCCAGGTAGGAATTATGGGCAGGGCTACCAAATTAGGAGATTTCTGGGAATAGGAACAAAGAGAGTGAATCGCCAGGGAGATGCGATGTAGCCACTGGGAAGATAGGATGGCTGGGCATTTTTCAGTAAGATAAAGCCATGTGGAAATAGACAAATAGTTATGGGTTAATAATTGAGAGACTGCTATCCAAAAGAGAAGCCTGAGTAATAGGCCAAACATTTTATAATTAATATAAGCCTCTTTGTATTTATTTGAAACTAATCGGCTGCAGGACCAGATGGGACAGAAACTTCCTTTAACACAGTTGAGCAACACTGTACGCTGTGGTGTATGGGTTTGTCTGGCTGCCTATGCTTCCATTGTCTGGCATTATGACATGGTGTAGCCCAGAAAAGAGCAAAATTCAAACTATTGTTTCTATTGAATGTGTGTTTCTTCAGCATACTACTCTAGAATAAAAACTAAATAAACAAACAAATAAAAATGAATGGATGAATGAAAATTAATCATAAGCTAAACAACTGTAAAGTGGAAACAACTTTCCATTGTCTATGGTTGGGTTTAAAAGATCACCTGAGTCCAAATTCCTCAAGTAACATCAGAGTTATTTTT